ACTCGAAATCAGATTAATTATGCTTATCAGCTGTGAATCGCACTAAGTGTGCGAGGGCAGTATGTGGATGACTCTTGAATATACATGATGATTCTCGCTTTCTGATGTTTTCCTTCCAACTGTGTCTGTGTAACACAAAGCTGTTTTCTTCAGTGCTAATAATGCTGAGTACATGAGTTATTGAAGTAAAGTAGCCATCTGGCTCAAGACTCAAGTTATTCTTGTATGAGTTCCTCATCCTCTACTTCTGAGTTGATTCAACTCAGTTGAACAATGGGAGGCAACAGAGTGCCACTCTGAGAGTAGTCACACCAATCAGGAGGGGCAACGTAGATGGTGCTATCCCACAGAAGGCAGATGCTTTGTTCAAAGCAGAAGTACCACGATTCGTTGCCCGAGTGAGCATCAGGGGTTGGACACTAGAAACCAAAATCAGCACGATGTTAGGGGTTACGTTGAGTTTAGACGTTTGATTCGACTTCTCGTTCAGTCGGATTGTGTTATTGAACTAGTTAACGGTGTCACAAATTGTGACTCACAATTTCCACGATGAAATCATGGAATGTTCAACACTCGTTCCTTCATGTCGTATAAGTATGGACGTATAAGTGTCCATATAAAGATGAACATTATATTGATAAATTTATTGATATACAATGGAGCTTCATCCATTCTGCGTGAAGTGGCGTACCACTCTGTGGAGAACCCGATGTTCGCGCTATGCTGCATAGCCTATGCAGTAGTCGTGAAAAATGGAATACTAGTGTTTTCATATCACGGTGAAACTCCAATGTACTGTATGGTCATTGGTTACGTACTGAAAATGTATTAGATCATACTGAGTTAACAACATGAGTATCTGGAAAGTTGCGATAAATGACTTATTATATGGAACCATCAGACTTATTATAAGTCTCATGGTTTCATCTGAGTATACCCCAGGGAATCATCCAGGAACCTATAATGTTCTCGGGTGGAAATCATTTTGAATTTTCCATGTATGGTAGGAACACATCCTTCAATCACTGATTGAACTGACAGTTCCTCGTGTGAATGTCATCACATTAGGAACATTTTTCCCATTGTTATAAAACCCTGGGGAGCTTCGTTTCTCAACGCTAAATGGGTCCCGGGTATGTCCTCAGTTGGTCAGGAGTACGAGAGAGAACCAAAAACTGTGAAAACCAAGCCCGATTTCTCTCTGGATCTTACCTTGATCACACTCATAACAGTGTTGGAATATGTCTTCCTCAGCTGAGGCGGCCTCAGTGAAGCCAGAACTTTCCTCACTAACTATAAGGTTAACATACGAACTAAAGCAGAAGTGTACAGAAACCGAAGAGTTCCTCGAAATTTTCATTTCGTCTCCAACACATGCGATTGACCATGTTTATATTTTCCTGCACTGACTAGCAACGTCACGGGATATGTCAGTAACCTCGTTCGTGTGAAATCTCCTATAAACGGAGACAAGCGTGAGCGTGATGCCTATAAATCTTGGGCCATAAAAAACTTTACGATGTTCGAAGCTTGCATATACCATCACCTAGCGCGTTTCTCGACATGTTCTTCCAAATTGTTTTTCTACAACTATATCTACAAGCACATACCATTCGAAAGAGCGCGGCTCTTGTATGCGGCGAAATATTATAATACTCTCATCCCCATCCTCTATGTTGTGGGCTACGGCTGTTCGCAAGCGAGAAATGTTCGTGCATAGATTGGAACCCGCGACCGCGATTTACTAAACCCAAAGTATTCCACTGATTGGTAGAGGAAACGATATTCTTCGAAGTTTTTGACGTTTTGACGTAGAGTGAATCACAACTACTGCCCAGCCATAGCCACCATCTGAGCGCCTGAGAGCAACCGTACCAGACACTCCAGACGGCTACAGTCTTTATCGAAGGTCTGAAAAGAAAGTAAATGCACTCAAGCGCTCATTAACCTTTCAAGACCTTGAAATTGGCGGCAAGCCGTGTGCTGAGCTCCTTGACCGCTTTACGCACACCTACATCTGTTGATTCCAACAACGTATCAGCATGGAACTTCAAGAAGAGGGAGAGTTGGACCTGAAAAACTCCAAAATACTGATAGCGATATCGGCATGAGCGAAGTGCGAACACAATGGAATTTTGTGGCGCGTGACAAAAACTACAACATCACCTGTATCAAGTCATAGTCCTTCCCCGAAGCCGCCATCGCATCGAAGTACTCCACAGCGTAACGGAGATTCTCATCTCTGATCTCGCTGAGGCACAGGTTCAATCCGCTGGCCGTCTGTTTTTTAAGATACTCCAGCGCTGCCTCCCAGTCCCTCTCAACGATCTTTCTCTCGAACTCCGAGTCCATCACCGAATTGAAGTCACTGCCACCATCAAATTTCATTCTCTTCTTTTCAGGCTCCTCACTAGTCTCCGCCGTTGCTGCTGGTTCTTCCAAAGGCGCGAACAGCGGCTTTGCATTATCATATACAGTAGGGAGAAAAAATGGCGCGCTCTCCGGTTTTTTGGGCGGGCCCACTGGCTTATTGCGCTCCTTTATCTCATCTAATCTCAGAGCATATTGCCAACTCGTACGTGGCACCTCAGAAAGAGTGATAGCCCCTCGAACTTGTGGTTGGTAAGATACAGAACTAGTCAGAACTTCGTCACCAGCAGAGACATTTTCATCAACTTCCATCTCTCCTTCCTTTTCTGCTTGATCAATGGGAACATACTCGCGTGGGACTGACGACACATTCGACTGATCTTTGCGACCAAGCAGTTTCGTATTAGTCCAGAGATGTAGAGCGCCATATTTGGAAGTATGGGCGTGTGTAGTGATCAAGAAAGCATCACCAGTGCTCCAGCATAGAGCCAAGACCGGCGAGGTAAAGACAACACGATCAACCACACTAGCAGTAGGAAGATCGTAGATTACCATTTTTGCATCAGAATCTGCCACAGTTAGCAGCTGACCGTTATGTGACCACCCCATAGCCGTAATAGGCGCCTTGAGCTCATCCAAGCGTCTCACGACCCTTCCTGAATCCAGGTCCACCACCAGAACGCCTTCTCCTCTGCTCATCGCGACCGCGGCTAGAGCGCCCTGGACGACTGCGGCAACAGTACTGCCCTCTCCCTGTGGTAGGTCTATGTCTCGACGTCTATAAGGAGTCTTCGAGCTGGTACCAATAGTAGTTAATCGCAGCTTTCGGCCATTTGACGAGCCCGATAAGATAGTAGTAGCAGACAAGAACTCCAGAATAGAAATTTCACCGCCGTTTTCATGATTAGTGACCAAACCACGATAGAGGCAACTCTGCATATTAAAGCGGTGAACTTCGCCGTTCTTGAGCCCCACACAAGCGTAATTACCGCAGTCACTCACAGCAACACGGACCACCTCCGATTTGTTGTCAGGAACTTCAATTTGGCGATTCACGAGAGCCTGCTGATAACCGCTCCACACAGTAGCATAGAGAGACCCCTTGTGAGCCGTAACCACATTCGGCCAATCATATTGTCGCAATCTGGTCCCAGCTAGCGATAAGATTTCACCGAGACTGCCGTCTCCAGGTCGCCTCCACCTCATTCGAGAACCCAGCCCGGCAGTGGCCTTATTTATGTTAGAGATGCTCCAAATTTTATTCTGTTTCTGCTGAATCAGACTCATTTTACCAACGCGGTTTCCCGAGCTGATAAGAAGATCGTTACACTCAGCATTATTCGTAGTGTCACCATATACTTCAACGTGAGTGATGGGCTCACTCGCGCCCCTTCTGTGACGTAGTAGCCTCATACTACCATCGGGCTTGTCGAAAATCCAAACACATATCGCATTATCACTACCAGTAGTCACCACCAAAGGTTCGCCAGGAACAGCCGCGAGAGTTGATATAGATCCATCGTGAGCTTTCTTGACCACACTATGAAGGATTTTCTCAGCGAGATCCCATACAAAGATATCACCCTCAGATGTGCTCGACAGCAGCACACCGTTATGGTCGCCGTTATCAGTGCGGAAAGCGAGACCAGTGATTGACCCGGAGGCCCTGCTTTCAGTAGTCGCCAGAGTAAACAGAAGCTGATCAGTGCGACAGTTTACTATGAAAATTCTGCCGCTTTCAAAGCCGACAGCAACAACGTCCAGGGCAGGGGAGGGCGCCAGAGCAGTGATGGCGGAATCGTCAGTCAAACACGAAAAAGTGTGAACTTTCCGATTCGACTTCAAATTCCACAGTTCCAATTCGCCGCTTCGGCCAGCAATAAGCATCTTATTGAGATATGTTGGAATATGGATAGCAGTAGTAAGTTCATAACCCAAGTTTAGTCTTGTGGGCCCTATAATTTGACCCCCGGGCTTAGTGAGGGAGCTCGGAAGCGTCCATAGCAGTACCTCATTTCCGCTGGAGCCAACACTCAGTAGGAAGGTACTACCAAGTAGATATAGAGATCTGAGGAAATCAGTGAAAATTGTATAAATCGCAAAGTTGTATTATAAAAAAATTCTCAATTTTTGACTACTTCGGCGCTGAAGACTTTCGATAAATGAAATGAAAACGCGTGGGAAAATGGTATCGCAAATAAGAATTAATCGGGGGGAGGGGGAAATCTTGAGAAAACTGTGGTAAAAATTCAATATAATAAAAACCAATCGCAAGACGTTTATTACTCAACGCTGCCTCGGTGCCCTTCAGTGGTCATCGCAATAGGAACCATCTTATGCCATACGCAAATTCGTCCGTCGTGATAACCAGCGATAGTAGTGTCTCCTACCGCGACAATACTGGTAGCTGTTTCACGAGCAGCAGGCTGGATATAGCGGATGTCGAGACTCTCGATGTCGTAGACCTGATGGGAGTTTATGCAACCGCACCGTTGACATAAGAATTCCACGAACATAGTGATTCTCAGTAGCACTTAAAAACGACTTTCGTCATTTCTCCAGAATATTCTCATGAACATAAGAGCAACTATTTAATTATTCATACCACTCTTCTGGGAAAATATGCACATGGTCAACTACATGTGTGACCGACGGTATGAATTTCTTTGAAAAAAATTCGGGAAATTCTCATCGGTTTCTATACATCTACCCAAACTCCTATAATAAATGAGGAAGCATCCGAGTAAAGTTGAAGAAAGCGAACATATTTTCCAACCACTCCTTCGCCACATCGCCCCCCTACTACCTGCCAAGCCGCGTGGGTTACTGCAGTGACGAAAGTCTGCGAGCCTACTTTAGTGACAGCAGCTGGTTGAGGGCCGCATACGACGCCGACGACTCGGTGTGTTCTTAGCATGCCGGACTCTCTGGGCCCCATCGGCGCTGCTAGCGAGGACATAGCGTAAGGAGAGCAGCAACTCTAAAGTGGCGAAGGAGTGGTATCAGACTAAAACTAATTCCTCGCAAGTCCGCCAAGCTAGAGGATGGGATTATAGATACTCTCAAGGCTATATGATCAACCTAGCACGCATAACGCCAACATCAGGTTTTCCCTTCGCAAGCACTTGTCGAGCACCGTTGAGGAATCTCAAGTCAAAGCAAGAAAGCAAGATTTAGACATCTGTTCTCTATTTCATGCAGTACATGCAATCTAGAGACTGTGAAACTGTTTAATATTCTAGTTGAATGGAGTTTCACCCGTTTTACGTGAAGTGGCGAAAAACGAGATGTTCGCGATGATATGCAGTAGTCGTGAAATATACATTTTTCACTTGTGTTTTTCATATCACTAGGGTGGTGAAACTCTAATATCTGATAACCTGCAGGTCGACCGAAAACGATTGCTTCTTCACGCTAGTTTGTCTTCCAAGTTTTTTCCAAAGGTGGTTCCCCCTGCCAAAGAAAACCAAAATATGAAAGTGAAACATGGAGGGATACCATTATGAACGATTCTCTTTCTGTTGATGTATAGCATTAGATCAGGAGCGGAGTTATAGATATACTCCCCGAGTAAAAGTTGGTATTT